CTCAACTTTAACCAGTCACTTAAAAGCTAAATGAAAGTTGTTACAGTACAGTCTATGTTGCAAAACAGTATTTCAAAAGTGGTCTGCAAAAATGCTCATGGATAATAGCTGCTTATTTAGGGTTTACTTTTGAAAGTTAATATTGCATTGTTTAATACTTGATATAAAGAAATTTGTGAAACATTGTGGTTTCCTAATGCTATAAGCTTGTTGCAATATAGACTAAAAATTTGAATGGCAAAATGATATACAATTTTGTATGCATGACTTTTTATTGTACTTAATGAAAATATGAAATTGTAAGATTTCACAATAGGTTAGATAATATGAAAATTAAGTGCTGTTTGCTGACAATTTGATAGTTGAATTCACTGTCAAGTGATAACATCTTAATTCTCAACTATCCTATGAACTATTACTTAATAAATTTGAACATAACATAAAATATAATCTTAGGTGTTCTTAAATATCAAGTTATTAAAAAGTAGGGCTATGGAGGAAATGCTAAAAAAACCAGAGCAATTTTGGCTGAAAAACTGAGACTTAGATGTTAATTGAGAAGGCTGAAGCATAGTGAAGAATCACAGTATTGGAGAGGATGACAAACTGCCCTTGTTGATTTTTTTTTTAATATTGGTTAAGAGAAATGAATATAAAACAAAACTGGAGGGAAGCAGAATATATATGAAGAAAACTTGCAAGTTAGATCATCAAGCCAGGTGATGAAATCAAAGTTTTGGGTGGATTCACCAGAGCAACCTGTAGAAAAAGGTCCTTTTGATAACAACATTTGTGTAATTAGCTCAATGATTTCCCAGGTTTAATCAATGAAGGTGAATATTTAGTAGAGGACCATGCAAAGTAGTTTTGATGAACATTTGCAGTTTAGAATCTTAGAGTTAAAATGCAATTTCATCTGCAAACTGACAGTCAAAAGATGCTTTAAGAGCAGACTGACAGCAAAGGATGAATATCTAGAAATATTTCAGTCTAAAAAATAGTCCAGGAGTGTATGTGGGAGTGTTACACAATTTCTAGAATAACTGGTCTAATGATCAACTAACATGTGTGTACAGATTCTAGCTTTAAAGAGCAAGCTTGTAAGATAAAGGAACATATAAAGTAACCTATGAATAGTTGTGTAATAATAACCAGCAAATAACTTACAGCAAGTTCAACATTATAAATATAATGTAATCTCAAGTTCTAGGTACTAACTAGCCCCAATAAAATATTCATTTCTATAAATGTGAAAAAAAGAAAGGATGTTTAGTGAAGTATTTTTGTCTTAAATTACTTTGAAGAGAGAGCTTATAAAGAATAAAAATCCTAACTTGGCCTACCAGGTATTCCATTTGGTTTTAACCAGAAGGCAAAGCTGAAAATATTTTAGATAAAATTACTTGCCAAATTCAGTGACAATCCCAGATACTTGAGTGTTCCTATCTTTCTTTAATTACTTTCACATTTAGAATTAACATACATTTTCTGGAACAAGTGGGTACATGTTTGAAGCTGTACAAAATGCTTTATAAAATGAGAAGATTAAAAAACCATGTAGTCTTCCTCAATTAGTTCCCTGAATTAGCAAATTTTCTAAAGTCATTAAAAGCAGAGATTTTCAAGCTGGAGTCAAAGGATATATAAAGTTCAAAGTTCATGTCACACTTCTCCAAATCTAGTATTCAGTCAACTCAGGAAAAAGTGTCTATTCACACAAACCAATTTCACTTTTCCCTTAAATTTCACTTTAAGTTCTGCACTAGGTAACAATGTTAGGAGTGAAAAGAAGTGAACTGAATTTAAGATTCGTTATGGCATTGAGGGGTTGAATTTTGTCTTGAATTAGTAATTATTTTTCAAGTAACAATCAGCATGTCTGTCTATACACATCTTCTTATGTTTGCCTAACTTCTAAAGTCATTAAGGTATCTATCTGGTTGGTTTATATAGAAACCACAATTGTGCTGAAGTATAATGAATAAATTCTTACAAAATGCCAGTACATTCCACATCCCATCATACAGGTGTGTAGGCAGTGTGATGTAGATGAAAGAGATGTGGAGGAACAAACTTAGTGTGAAATCCCAGCTTTGCCTATTACTATATATGGGTTGGGCTAAGTTACTTAGCTGCTCTTAGCTCGTTTCCACATCGGTGAAGAAGAAATATTAATATAATATTCATATGGTTATTATGAGGAACAAGAGACTGAATATGTAGGCAATATGTAGCAAATGGTCAATTAGTATTATCTCACTTTAAACAATGATAATGGGTTTTTCTTTCCTGGTTATGTAACTTATAAATGGGGAACATCTGTTTAGGAATTATAATTAAATCCTTTTTATCTATATATAGTTAAAAAGACATTCTTTCAATAACAGCTCTAGCACAGTTATGGGGACTATTATTTAACCTATTATGACTCTTTAAAAGTTTTAATTCTATCTAGAGAGAATTTTGACTTTTTTTATTAAATGGTGCTTTATTCAAAGGATTCAAATGCTTTTCCACATGCAAATTTTTGTGATAGCAGTTAAATATTAGTTTTAATAAACATTTGTTTAGATGAATAAATTTAGCAAGTAATTTAACTCATTTAGTTATTTTGTTAGCATGTATATTACAGACTCTAAAGTAAATCAATCTGATTTAGCTGAAATTTTATTAAATGATTTTATATTTTCTTTCTACGTGTACTTTTTCAAGAATCTACTAAAAAAGTGAAGAGAGGAAATTACTTTAAACATGTCTATAGGAAATAGGAAATGATTAGGAATTCTTTTAATTGGTATGTTAATTTTTGAAAGTGTTTTATTACTTTAAAAAAGTTGAGAAATTCACAATCAACTGGCCCAAACAAAAATAAAGCAGAATATAATATAACTCTTATTCTGTCAGGAAAAGATCAGTTAGACCTTAAATGGTTGTTTATCTACAAATGCTTCAAATCCTCGAATGCTTCAAATTCGAGAAAAACTATAACTGAATTTACTCTAAATATTTTACAAATACTTGAAAATACCCAGAAAGACATTTAAAGGCAAGAAAATTAAGTGAAAATTAATAATTTGCTACATACATAAAATATTATGACAGATGTCTGAAAATAAATTAAGGGTCAATTGGCCCTCCCTGGTGGTGCAGCGGGTTAAAGCACGGCACTAAGAAGCTGAAACCACTTCCATATGAGTTCGATTTCCACCTGCCCCAAAGGTGACCACACGGTGTGGCAGACCTCTCCTGACCCGCCCGCTGCTCCCCTCTGCAGTGTACTACGTCGATCCACCTGTTCTGCTCCCCGCTCTGTCTCTGGTGAAGTCTTTCGCCACCCCTGAGTCTCTGGCCTGTACCCCAGTTCTGTATGCACAAATAAATAAATCTTTAAAAAAAAAAAAAGTCAGTAGAAAAAAAAGGTGAGGGGGAAAAGACAATGAAAATCCTGGGCACTAGGAAAATAATCTTAATTGTAAGAATTCAAAATTCTGTTCAGCAGTCCTGCTAAACAAATGTTGGTGTAACATCTGTCTCATAAGATTACAGCAGATATCAAACAAGAAAAGGCTTATATATAAATTAAATCACAAGTAGTGTAGATGGCAAATTGGGAAATTTAGTCTGTTGTTAACTAAATTACAAAGATAGAGAAATATGAGTGAGTAAATATTGTTCGAGAGATAAAAACGCAGTTCAGGGGATTTGGGCATTTGTATTTTCTTATTAATTTACTATCTATCTCCAAAGAGAATTCTTAGAACTTACTTAATGTCTACTAAATACTCTGAGAATCTGAAAAAAATAAATGAGATCATCACTGTTTGCAAATTGTCAGAAAATAACTTGTGCTTATAAAAAGTTCCTTGTTGACAGAAAGTGCTTTATTTTTTTTTAAAAAAGGCATGAATTATTATTTTAGAGATGATTAAAACAGTAAAGGAAACTAACAAAAATGATTCGATGGATACAGAACACAAACTTTCACTAAAATTTATATGCTCTTAAGGAAAAACTAAGTGTTCACATATCAAAGGCCATGTGAAGATTGTATGAACAACCCACAAAAGAGAAACTATGAAACAGGATTAGGGAAGAAACACAGAGTTTTGGAAAAAGAGGTAAGTCTCAGTCTAGTCAAAAAAGCTGGGTTTGGTAGCAATCCTTCCTTTGGTGTGCCAGGTGAATAATTTTCCACACAGTGTTTTAGGTCATGGGGAGAGGAGTCATTTTCAGATAAAGTCACCATGCTTTGTTTGGGAAGAGAATAAAAAGATACTATGGGTTTGAAAGTATGAATCACTTCTGAAGTTATTTTAAACTGAAAACTGTATTAGAGTCAAAGATGGCCTATTCAGAGAAAAAAGGTCTGTAACACTATATTGTGTTAACCAACTACCTACTTAGAAATTCCTTATAAGTATAGCTCTGTAAGTTTTCTGATAAAAATGTGCTTTTTAAATAAATGGATATGGAACATGAACATACATACAAAAATAAAATAAAATGAAAAAAAAATAAGACTAATATTTGATTTCCTCTACTTTGTTCTATGCTCTCTTATAAAAGTCCAAAACCAGAATCAAATATTTATTAAAATGCCTGGAAGGAAACAATTCGGATTTGGAAGGTCAAAATAAATGGCATTTCAAATTAGGTTTTGGTAACTCCTTCTTTAGAGCCCTTTGAGACAATGTTTCTGCACTCTCCATAAGGAGAGAAAAGGCAAGAAATCAGGTAGTTGTTTTCTCCTGTGCAAAATTCACTGTCACAGAACTGACCTGCCAAAAGTGTGGGGGGCAGGGGAGAAAAAATGTTCATATTGTGGAAGAATGTGTGCTGTTAGGAAGAGAGCTTCTAAGAAAGCTTATTGTGGCCTATAGACTATTGCACATTTAATCAAAACACAAGAGAAAAGAATGTCCAACAGATAATATGTACAAGAAGATATCAACATAAAACTAGCTTGTGCCCAGAAATAAAATGTGGATACCAGACACCACTGCAGTCAAACCTGTCTTAATTTGCTTCTTTTGTTTTTGCTTAATTTGTTTTAATGACCTTTAGAGACTGGTCCAAACTGATTATCAGCAATCCATTGTTTTTGCTTTTTTTTTTAAAAAAATATTTGAGACCACTTTTGATACACACACATACAATTCTGTGGTCATCACAGACAAATATAACTTTAGCAAGACTAAATAAAAGTGCAAAACTTAAAAAAACAAAATTAAAAAATATGGAAGCATAAGCTAAGTTTTTCTGCATAGCTGAAATCTATTTAAAGCAAGTCCTTGTGGCAGGGGTGGAGGGGGAGACTGACAGGAAGATAAAGCAGTTTGTTTTGTTTCAATATCTTCTCCACATTTCAATGATGCAAAAAATAACTTCACTCCATAGGCTTGAAAACATCTCACAGACAGTTCATCCCTGTATCTTTAGAGACCATGGTTGTGGCAGTGCCGCCTTCCGCAAGGTAAACAGCGGTGCTAGACTTGGAATGAACGGCCTTCTCACCGCCATTGTTGTTGACCTCACAGTCCAGGGGTTCAGTGGAGATGACCCAGGTGGAGGGACGCCACCGCTTAAGAGAATAGGGAGTTTTCACACGTTTCTTGATCTTTTCACCAGATCCTGATTTGCCATCTTGTGTTGACTCAGCTACTAAAAACAAAAAGTACAGAAAAAAAGAACTATATGTCAATTAAATATTAATAACTCTAAAGAGTTAGGGTTGTAACTTGAGAACAGATCAAACCAATGTCTGCAGAAGGTGCTAATGGATATTCTTTGAAATTCATGATGTCAAGCAGTATTTTACTAAGAATTGAAACAACTTATTGGTGAGATTATTAAAGCCCAGTGTTTTTATAACTGGCTGAATTATTCTACACAACAAGGGAGAAAATGTAGATCAAATACAAAAAGTAAAGATTTTGTGAGTTCTCCTTTCTTATGTTATACCTGTTTAGGGCTACAAATCAAGTGTCATCCTATTTGTTTAAGTTGACATAGGGCCCATGGCACAATGTTATAGAAGACATAACTTGAAAAAGATGATACTAAAAAGTAGTCACAGTTTCTTCATAGTGACTTTTCTGAATTTTCTCTGAACTTTGAATAGATCAGAAAATAATGAACTTTGAATAAATCTGAAAATAAGGTTAGCTGATAAAATCTAAATATGTGTATATATATATTTATATAATAGATTAATATTTGCACTACACTATACTAGTGTCATTTTACTAGGGTTTTATATTGGTGAGTATTTACTTGATCATTCATAGCAAGTATGAGAGTTGCATTATAAACCAGCAGTTACATAAGGCACACATTAAATTGACAATTATTCTAATAATCAAGACATTGAATTTTAATTATCTACAACAAAAAAATTACTTGTTTATAGCTGTCTAATTATTTTGAGGTCCAATCAAATGGTTTATTTCCAAAGGTGATAAAGATATATAACTACTAGTTGAAACATAATCTGATTCTAAGTAGTCACTTTAGTGGTCTCTAGAGACAAGCAGAAGAGATTAAATGACCCCTCCACTTACACTGCATACTGCTGCCGTCTAGGATGTTTGTAGCTGAAAGATCCAGAGAGTTAGGCCTCTGTGCTCTTCTGGGCTTTGATGGTCCTGGATCTGTTACTGTGCTTGGAACGCCCTGTGTAGCATGAACATCTTGCTCTGGACACGGATTACTGTTGTTATTATTGGAATTAGTTCGGCCTCCTTCCAGTGGCCGTTCCCTCCTGTCCACCAGACGGTCCAGAACACCTTCATCATGGCCAGCTTGCTGTTCTCGTCTCAGTAAAGGTTCATGCTCATCAGGGCTGGAATTAATATTCAGCCGGGTGTCCTCACCAATAAATTGATTCTGCAGCATCTCCTGGGCCCTATGTACCACTGTGTTGGCTATCTGGCCAGATGGTACTGCCCCATTGGCATACTGGGTAGTGGCAGCCAGGGAGTTAACACTGTGGTTTCTACCTGCCACACCATTCATGGTGACTGTCACCACATGAGGTTCTGCTGCATTGATTGTATTCATCTTGGCAACTCCAGTTTCTACTTGTTTCAGGTTTGATTTGTGCTTGCTGCCAAACTTAAGCCGGGGTTCCTTTGTTGAATTTTTGGTGTTTAAAGGCAAACTAGTAGGTCTCTTGGGGAGGTTCTGTTGCTTGGGGAGAGGATAGATCTGAGCAGGAGGGACATCTGGAATTAAACATGCTTGGCCATTTGCAGCATGTGTGAAGTCCTGCTGCCCAGTCACTTCTACTGCAAGCTTTATGAGTGGGTAAAGTAAGCTAGAACTGGTACTGCTCAGTGGGTCTGGCCCACTGAACTGCTTGAGAGAATGTTCCATGAGATTCTCATCAGAACTTTCCTTAAGGTTCTTATCAACTTCTTTCGGGTCCAGCTTATTCGTCTCCAAGTCTTCTTCTGTCAGCTGTAAGCAGACAGGGGTTGGCCCCATTGACTGTGAAACATTTGTGGCATGCAGATTTGTTTCATCTGGATATGGCATTTCAGATATAGTGGTCATGCCAGTGCTAGGAGTGAGGCCAGTGGTGTTTGTGGTGGTTGTGTTGGTTGACAGGCTGGTGACACTGGTTTCGGGGCTAGGGATTCGAGCTTGTGCTTGCTGACGCTCATAGTTAATTGAGTTTCGGTTCTTTTCCCCTATAGTCAAAGGTGTGCTGGACATTGAATGTTCAGAGGAAATATTCTTCACAATGCTGTCAGTGTGATGGAGAGAGTCTTCAATGTATGAGGAAGACGAATAATCTGGATACGGGCCAATCTTTGGCACACGCCTATTGTGTGATAGGTTTCTTTAAAGAAAGAAAAGAAGTGTCACATTGAGAAAGTACATTTATGACAAACTGACTCTCCTGGTTTAACACCTCTGATTTTAATGTATGAACTACTTTTTATTTTATTCCTAACTCACATTATTCTAGAGTTTATTTAAATACTTTAACCCAATATTCAGCATCAGTAACTCAAATAATAATTTAAGTCTATTGAAATTTAGATATTTAAGGCTACTCTGATGTAAATATGACTTTTGTAGATGTCCATTATTTTGGTTCACATGAGTTAGTTGAAAAATCTCTACAATTTTTTTTAACATTACCAAGTCTATCTTTAAACAGTTTACTTGCAAGGCCAAACACAAGTTTTATGACAGGAGGAATGGGGTGTGCCTTTCTTATGCACTCTATTAATTCTAGATACTTAGAGGCTACTGAACAAAGTTCAGTAACTTACTATTATCAGTTAAGTTCCAAAGGCTAAATGGTAAAAAGAATATAAGCTTTTATGTTGTTCCAAAGCGCTTCCACTAAAAAGCACAGTCTATCAATGGGATTTATCTTCCTGGGGTAGAGGGAAATGAAAGTGACAAGGCAGATAAAGGATCAAAGATTCAAAATTGCTTTCCAGTTACCAAGAGTTCTTTAGATCTACCTTCACACTTTGAGAGTGATGATTCTTGTCCATCACATCATAATATATTTATTTTATTTAAAATCAGGTTAAAATAAAAGCCAGGGGTAACTAAACGACAACATTAATAGATACAATGTTTTAGGAGAAAAGCAGGAGTCAAAGGAGCGAAGTGCTATTACAAAAAAGATTGAAGAAGTTGTGAGGGAGAGGATGAAGAAAAGAGAGTTAAGTGAATTAAAAGGAAGCTAAGCAGGCATGGAGGGTAAGAGTCATCCATCCTGTGAAAGGTGGTTGGGATGAATTATGTATGGTTCAGGTAAACCATTTAGCAAAGACTAAACATGAGGAGAAACAAGAAGGGGATAGAGCTGAATGTTAGAAAAGGCAAGAAAAAAAAAAAAAAGGTTGAGCAAGGGAAAACATTTGAAATCACTTAAAATAAAAGTTACTGGCTCTTGGAGCACACTGGGAAATGGAAGCAGAAGACTGTTTTCAGGTATGTGTAAAGTGAAAATTATATTTAGACTTGTTAGTCTCTACCTTCTTGGACTTGTTGATATATAGGGAACAAAGGTTTAGATGTAAAAACTAATTCAACCTACACACAATAGGTATAAACTCAAGTTCTGACTCATGGCTTATAATGTAAATTTTGTTAGAAATTAGGGTAACAGGCCCTCCCTGGTGGCGCAGCGGGTTAAAGCACAGCACTGAGAATCTAAAGCCGCTTCCGCATGAGTTCGATTCCCGCCTGCCCCGGAAGTGACCACATGGCGTGGCAGACCTCTCCTGACCCGCCCGCTGCTCCCCTCAGCAGTTCGTTGATCTGCCTGTTCTGCTCCCCACTCTGTCTCTGATGAAGCCTCTCACCGCCCCTGAGCCTCTAGCCTGTACCCCAGTTCTCTATGAACAAATAAATAAATCTTTAAAAAAAAAAATTAGGGTAACAGAAAGTAGCAAAGAAAATTATTCAAAAATTAAGTGTATTTTTATCTCAATTTTTTTTTTTTGGTAATTCTTTCCTGGATACTTCTTGGAAAAATTTTAACAAGTATTAGATAAAGTGACAAATTTGTGGGATGACTTTTTTCTGCCAAACATGGAACTAAGAAAAACAGATGATACAGTCTGAAAGTTCCAAGTTTTATGATTTTTTAAAAAAAATAGCACTTTATTTAGAACCCAAAATTATAGTTCTAATAAATAAATGTCTTATAAAGTAATGTCCATGGTAAAATAGAAAGACCTTATGAATTTTGTGTATGCTTTGTGTAAAAGCAGTAGTAGTACATTCTATAAATGGGACTGGATAGGAAACCTGGAAACCTTAGCCTCTAGACATGAACAAGTTTACCATTACATTCCCTTTATAAAACAATAACAACAGGGTGCTCTCTGGTGGTGCAGTGGGTTAAAGAATAGCCCTAAGAAACTAAATCCACTTCAGCGTAAGTTCCATCCCCACCTGCCCCAGAGGTGGAGGTGATCCACATGGCGATGCAGACCTCTCCTGACCTGCCCACTGCTCCTCTCAGCAGTGTACTTCATTGGTCTTTCTGTTCTGCTCCCCACTCTGTCTGTGGTGAATCCTCTCACTGCCCCAGCACCTCTGGCCTGTACCCCAGCTCTGTATGCATAAATAAATATATCTTAAAAAAAAAAAAAAGTCCAAAAGGCATGTGGAAGAATAAAGGATAAACAAGACTATCTAATTAGATAGATAGATCAACAGGTAGATCTATACATATATATCTCCTTATGAACTTCTGGAACCATGAAGATGTTTTATCTTTATTAATGGGGAGTTGGAGCATTAATGGAGAAAGACTAAGAATAATCCCTTCTACTGTATCCTCAGTTAGAAAATAGATTCCATCTTATACTTACACCAAACAAAAATCTTCAGTAAAGAATGGAAAGATTTAAAAAGTTTATAACGTTCGACTGCATGGTATAACTGCTGCACTATTTGACTGGTTCATTTGCATTTCTTTCCTGTTCTCTGCTTGGTCTCCGTTTTCAATACTGACTGATGGACGCTACACCCCTCAGTTCTTACCGCTCATTCTGCATAGCAGTAGACATTGGATTGACTGTTGGGCTCACAGATTTGTTTCTTTCCCAGATCAACATTAGTTCAGCCATCCGCTCCTCAGCACACTGTGCAGTAAGCCGAGCCTCTGCATCCTGGTCCCAACAGTCTTCGATTGTCTCCTTGAGCGACCTCACTGCCTGTAATACAGTAGATGTAATACAGTAAAATTATTTAAAAAAGACTATTTTTTAGTAACATGAACTAAGTAAAAATCAATGTTCCTTAACCAATATTTTACAGTCACAATAAAACACTATAGATGACAGACAGCTATAAAAGGTGAGAAGCAGGGAGGCAAGCAAGTTTTAATTCTTTGGACAACTATCACATATGTTGCAAAGCAGCTGTAACATGTCACATAGATTTAATAAAGGCCACAGACTTGTGTCCTTGTTGAGTTATAGAGGTTACATAATCAATAGCCACTAATTCCACTAAAACCAAGTTTTGAGCTTGATGGAATTTTGGCACCAGGCTATCTTTAATCTCTAGGTGAGTTTGTTCCTTATTCCTACTAGTGAATGCTTCATTCCAACTATAAAACTTAAAGGCTTGGCATTTTCTTCTTTTTTAAACTACTACTTCAACAGTAGAATGAAAAGGAATCTCATTATCAGAGATCAGCAATGAACAAGTTTCCCTTTTGGAGAAGGTTGATTTAAACTCCCTTTAAAAAAACAAATTTTGTGCACTTTCATGGACTGTCATCCAAAATCCCTATAGTTTTTTTTTTGGAATGATTTTTATTAAGTTTCAAGCTTTACACTTGCTCTGACATTGACACTTCTTATGCCTTTAAAACACTTACTTTTAAGAAAGTAAGGTTAGAGTGGCTAGATTTAGCAAATAAAAATATAGGATACCAGTTAATTTGAATTTCACATAATTAACAAATCATTTTTTAGTGTAAGTATATGCATTACAGAAATCTGCCCTTTTTTCTGGTAAGTCTATTTTAGCATAAAGTCCTTGTTAACAATCTTGGCAACATTTTTAATGCTTCATAATAATTTGTGTTCTGTGATAGGCCAATCTGAACCTTGGACCTGTAGGAAATCAGGACATACACTCACTACATCTTGCTCCATGGCCTATCCTTTGCATTATCTTTGCTCTGTTGGTTCTTCTGAGCTGCCTGCCTCAGTGCAGGAAGCACTGCTGGTTCCCCAATTCTGACTATAACACAGAACAGAGTATATCTTTGAAAGGGACTTTCCATTAAATTTTTAATATATTCCAGGCTCTAACTATTGAGAAAAATTTAAAATTCAAGCAACAGGGACCACACTGGTAGTAACTTTAACAGGAGTTAAAGTCTCAGCACTATGAAGCTATCACTAGCAGTCACTGTAGCGTGAGTTTGATCCCTGGCCAGGGACCTGACCCACATGTCACAGCAGATCTCTCCTATCTTAATCACTGCTCCCCTCAGCAGTGTATTTCAGTAGATTCGCCTGTTCTATCCCCTACTCTGTCTTTGGTGAATCCTCTTACCCCACACCTCTGGACTACACCTTAGTTCTTATATGCATAAATGCAAATAAATCTTTTATAAAAATGAAATAAAATTCAAGCAAGAGATATAGATATTAGTTGACCTGGGCTCATTTAATTAAATAATAGTCATTTCTCAAAATATGGGAGAAATAGCTATTGGTCCTCAGGAGTTTGAGGACAAATATCTCTCTGAAGTAGAAGTCTGACATTTCTATTAGAAGTACAGTTGATTCTTGTATTCACTGAAATTGCTGTAAATACTAACTTAGTGAACACTGAACCACACTCCTAGGGAAAATACAGGGCTAGGTTCTGTGAGTCTTTGGCCATGACATTTTTTTGTCAACTGATCAATACATAATTTTATTTTATTTGTACTTTCAAAAATATATTTTCAACTTAGCAACACTATACTCACAGCCACTAACTCTTTTTTGCATGCCGGAAAAAAGCTAATTTAGCACATAACTTCCTTTTCTATAAGGCGTGTCCCAGGCGCCTGTGCATAGGAATATTAGAGAAAACTTCAGAACTACCCTTGGATGTCACCCTCAACTGAAATCTCCAACAAAAAGAGCAAAACTGTGAGTAATAAGACATTAAATAAACGGCAACTGGAACACCTGTTTACAGTGTAAGAGGTGAAGCAAGAAGGCAGGAGCCCAGCTCGGCCTCAACGAGGACCATGTGCGTCTGGAGACGCCCCATGTTCCTGCTCTGTATACAGCCACGAGAGACAGAAAATGTTTTGAGTACTGATTTTGAGATTAGGAATAAATTTTAGCAAGCAAATTCCAAACATAAAATCTGTGCGTAATAAGACAGTATATTATGGGTTTAAAACTGACTTGGACTTGAAGGTAACAGAGGAAATTCAGAAATCAGTGGTAACTTTTTATAATAAATACAACTTTGAAAACTAGTCATATATTTACTGCAGTAGATTTTTGTAACAGTTTGACAAAGTGAATTAGTCCCAAGTTATAACACAATATTTTTTTTTTCTTTTGAAACAAAATCAAACTTACTTTCCCTGACCTTGACATGCTGAAGGGTATAGGCAGGTCAGCTACTTTTTAGAATGTTTCTCAATTTGTATGATGTCTCTTCATTATTAGATTCAAGGTTTGCTTCTTTGGTACTACACTTATTATGTGACATACATTTTTGTTATGGCCAATTTCTAGTGAAATCAACGATTATATGATTGAGTTGGTACATGCCAGGCTTCTCCACTGTAAAGTTCTATTTTTCCCTTTTACACTCAATCTGGTTTTTTTCCTAATAATTTCACTTATTGTTTTGTGGAGAACTCAAAGCTCCGAAAATATCCTATTCCGTATTCACATATTTTCATCTACTACTTTGGCATCTCTTGTGGTCTTTAGCTGATTTCAGTATTTCTAAGGTGCTATCAGTAACAAAACATCTTAAAAATGACAGTAATTTTATAACAGGAATATCAAAAAAGGGTACCTAAATGGTAAATGCAAATGCCTTAAAATATGCAAATATGCTTAGTGTTATTAACTATGCTGAAACAGTACAGTGTAGGAGTTTGAATTCGTTCCAGCTTTATAGTTAAGACCATTAGCTCAGGTCAGAGCCTGACTTCAAGTATGGGCTCTATACTTATTCATTGTAAATTAAAGCAAGATGCACTTTACCTATTACATTAACAAAAATAAACAAAATTTTATAACACCAAATGTCAATGATAGAAAAGCAGGCCCTTACATTGTTGGAGTGCCACTGGTTTGAAGGGTAATCTGTCAGTAACAAACTTAAATGAATATACCCTTTGATCTAAAAGTACTACTTCAACAACTCCACTCCCAGGTATTTTACCCAAAACTACAAAACCTTAACTTGAAAGGAAACCTGCAATTCTATGTGGCATATCTATACCATGGGATACTACTCAGAGAGCAAAAAAGATAAAAATCATACCACTTACAGCAACATGGGTAGAGCTGGAAGGGATTATACTAATTAAAATAAGCCAGAAGGAGAAAGACAAATACTGATGATGTCACTTATATGTTGAATATAGAAAAACCAAAGGGTCAGAAAAAGACAAGCTTTCAACCAACTCTAGAAAGCTGGTATTTGGCTCCCAGAGCAGGAATAAGAAGGAGAGAGACGGGAAGGGAAGGGTGGGAGCGCAAGGTGGACTGTAATGGAGGGCAATGGGTGCTTCAGTGGTGAGACTGTTATGGTGACTACACCTGAGGGGGAAATTCTATACTGCCAAAATACTAGCACAGATGTAAACCACAAAAAATGGTATTTCAATAACGAATAATTTTTTAATTGCTGTATATTCATTCAATAGACTACTACTCGGCAATAAAAATATTTTTGATGAATATCAAAGTAATTATGCTATCTATGAAGCCAGACAAAAACAGGATATACTATATAATTCCATTTACATAAAGTTCTAGACAGCATAAATTAATCTCTAATGACAGAAAGTAGATCTGTCTGGGGATTCACGGAGAATGGAGAGAGGCAACTGGGAATACCAGGGGGCACAAGAGAACACTTGGGGGTCAGTGATGTGTACACAATCACAATTGTGGGGTGGTTTTATGCATGTATGTGTGTGTGTATACATATATGTTAAAACTTGTCAAACTGTACACCTTTAATATGTACAGTTTGTTACATCTCAGTTATATCTCTTTCTTTAAACATTAACATTTTTTAAAGGGAACAAGAACAAAGACAATATAAATATCCAGGCAAAAATCAGATGAGTACTTTAAGAAGAGATTCTAACTCCAGAAATATATAAATAAAGATGGCTAACATTTGGGTAAATGAAGAAAAGGAGGTATCATTATAAACACTGATAAAGAAAAACAAGCAGGAAAAAATATAGAAAAGAGACATTTAAAAAAATCTTTCTTATCCAATGATACGAAAATACAGGTTGAAGCTCACACATGGGTTCTGAAATCAGCTTAGTGGGTTGGTGCCAGCATTTAAAACAAACATCTATTCTATATTCTCTCCCAAGAGGAGAGGAGAGGGGAGTCGGGAGGAGAGGAGTCAAAAAGAATGAGGAGAGTGGGAGGAAGGGGAAAGGGTGAGGGGAGGGAAAGGAAAAGAGGAGAGCACTACAGACCAGTTCAGATCAGACCAGATCAGGGTGTAAAGAAGGTAGCAACATTAATTATTATGCCAGGATACTATGTCATGATGTGAACGTGTATTTCTTGTATTTGTGAAATTATTCACCAGAGAAAGATTGGGGAGCAGAACAGACAGATGGACTGAAATGCACTGCTGAGAGGAGCAGTGAGTGAGATAGGAGAGGTATGCTGCCCCATGTGGGTTCCCTCCCTGTCAGGGGTCCACTCATGCAGCAGTGGCTTCTGATAGCTTCATATTGCTGAGACATAATCCCTGTGCCACAGGCCCTTTGTGAACTTATATTTCTTAATGTAGGTTGTGTAAGGGAAAAAATATGTAAGGTGTTAAATTCTAGATCACAGCAAAAATATGCAGATTTTATCAGGAAGAGAAAATATGAAAGCTAAAGTAAATATGTAAACAAGAAATAGGTAGTTCTAAAATACACAGAACATTTTTGTAAGACTAGATTTACTGGGTGAAGGAAAAAAGACTAGAGGAAAACAAAACGAGCAATAGTTGCATATATGGCATGATAATACATTAAGATAAAACTGTTGAACAAATTATATTACAGACTTTTTTCTTTAAGGGATGCTGAATGTTTTATATAGGAGAAAAAATTCAAAATAAACCTATAATTTTGTTTTACTGTCTTCAACTATTTTAATACAAAGTAACAGCCTTAGACTAAAACTGTATGTGCAATGTTGTGAACAGTGTATTTTTACTGCAAAAATCTGAAAATATAGGGGGAAAAGTTGTTCATGAATCTGATATTTAGAAATAGTTATGGTTAATATTTTCATGTATCTCCCTTAGACAATTTTCTATACTTCTATTTTTATTGGGCAATTATTCTTTCCCCATTTCTTGACTGATCTATGTTGTTATCCTTGGCAGCTTTTAAAACAAATTTTTACATTCATTTGGATTTGAAAGATCTTGAATTTTGTTACAATTTTTTTTTTAATTTTAGTGTAACTCTAAAGCAAAAAAAGTCTTCTCTCAGAGAGTGGCTATTTTTCTCCCTTTACAAAACATGGACTTGCTACCTAACATTAGTACTGGAGTGTCACTGCAGAGAAGCAGTTTATTAACTGTAGTGCATTAGATTTAAATGGACTTATTGGAAATGAACCAAGTATTATTTATCTTTTGCTGAGTAACCTAGTCTAAACTGGGAGTAAAACATTTTCAAGTAAATATGCATATGATGCATATTCCATAATGGTAGTAGTGCCAGAGATACTTGAAAATGAGTCCTATTTCCAAGTTAAGGAAGATGAAATTATATTTGATTAAGTAAAATTTCACGAAAAGATTTTTCTTTAGAGGATGCTGTTCAGTGAGGCTGGCACATCTAACGAAACTTTCAAAGGGTTCAGCCTCTCACCTACTGTTAGGGACCTTTTAAAGACCTGCACAGGTTGGAGGCAAACTGGGTATACGAGGTTGGCAACAAGTCTTCAATTGCCTACTAACTGATGATTTCAACCTCATTTCAAGCAGAAGCCTTCCTTGAAGGTAATCTGCCAATGACGACCAATGAAAGAAATACTCAATCTCAATCTGTATGGAAACACATAACATCTCTCGAGCTTCTCTCTTACATGCTATTACCCCTTATGTGTCAAAATGAAAATAATCCCACATGACAACTTAAAATGAAAATGTGAAAATATATTGTAAAATTAAATAGCCTAATGAATACTTTTTCATACCTATTCTTTAACTATAATCAAGAAAATTATCTGTGCAGTATTATAAATCTATTAACATCATCACAGGTAATTAAATTCCTATTACAGTCTTTAAGTAAGAACAGATTGGTATGGGAAAGTAAACAGTAAGAATTTTTAGAAATTACAGTCATATAAGTTACTATGCAAAGTAAAAATTTAATGAGCAGGTAACTAGAATGGTAAAGGTGAAAAATAAATGAGTCATTTGAAAGGTAAAGTCAAGTAAATCTTGAACAATGTACATCAAAAAAATGTGGAAATATAAGAAGAAAAAAAGAAGGTCAGGTAGTCAAATACTTGTCCACTAGGAATTCCCAAAGGATAAAATGGAAGAGACGAAATACCTTATTTTAATAATATAAGAAAATCCCTTTGAATTGAAGGAACTGCTGAATTTTCAAACTAAAATCCTGTCCAGTGCAAAACAAAATGTGTGAGAAGCCCTACACCTACCAGATGAAATTTCACAAATCCAATGGTAAAGTAAAAGGCTTGTAGAGAAAAGGAAAGCAAGAGACTTTAAAAAAAGAAAAACTGCAGTATCAATAGGGTGAAACTGTTGAAATTGAAATTCTTATTAACTCATTAAGATGCCAGGGGACAATAAAGTACTGGTTTCAATATAGTGAGTAAAATAATTCTGATATTGAACCACTACCCAGTCAAATGATTGTATTATGCAAGTATCTGAATAAGATAGAATCATCTTTGAAAGTACAAGGTTTCATAACATTTACTACCCATATACACATACTCTTAAGTAATTTTAAAAGAGTAATTTTATAAAAAAATTATTTACACATAAATCAGAGATTTATTTACAAGTTAATCATGAGATTTCCATGAGATTTTTTAAGTATCTTGTTTCTTATAACTCAGAAAAAAGATGACCAAAAAATCAAAGAGAATCAATCCACTGAACGGTAACTTTTGAATTATTATTGCTCTAACTGTAGCAGCTGCTTAAAGTTTATTAACTAATTTAGGATTTTCACTTCCTTTTCTGAGCTCAAGATCAATATACCTGGTTGGATATATACCTGTACTGTGGATATTTACACCATCAAAATTATGTATAATGTTTTTATTTTATTTAAAAGTCTAGCTTAATCTGTAGACAAAACAGTAGTAATAGACATAACATGAAAAAACTAGGAAAGTGAGAGATAACTTAAGAAATAAGAAAAGACACAGCACTTAAAGTCATAATAACTTCTAGAAGAGAAAATCAGAAACAAACACCAACTCTTCAGAACACTTAATGGGAGTTATTTTTGAAGACTGTTCAAAAAAGAAATGCAGTGTAGTGTGTAAGATATGTAGTATATATCATATCATACAATTAAATATAAGCTAACTGGAGAGAAAGGTCTTTAGGTACTGAGGTGAAAAACTGTTAATAAATAAAAAATAAATTTCAGAAATGATAATGGATAATAAGGTGATCCAGAGAGAGGGAGAGTAAACATATCTGTAAGATGTTTTCAGTGTTGTAACAATTTACTCAAATGGCATTTCTATGAAGACATTTCATTTTGTAAATCTGATTTTAATTAGCAGAATTCAGAGGCTGTACCTCAGTATCTTTTAGGTCTAGCTTCAAATTCTATTAGCCATGGTATCTGTAAACCTAGGCCTCTTAAAATTCCTCTTAACTGACATTTTTTTGTATCATTCTCATGACAAAATTTCAATCTTAAAATATTAACATGCTAATTATTCCAGCTGTTATTCAATCTGGCAAACACCAGATACATCAATTGGTCTCTCTACGCCATATTTTACATTTAGAAAAAAAGTGAAACTGGACAGGAAAATGATGCTTTTTATATTGAAATATTTTTAAATTTATAACATCATAAAAATCAAGTATGTAGGACCTCTGGCATTAGAGAATTCTAAGAACCACTACCTGTCTATTTTTGCTTTATATGACATTAAAACATATTCAGCTGTAAACCATCTTTTGAATAATTTAGTTTTTTCTTACCAGGCTATTTTCTTTCCAAGCTTCTGGGAACTTGGGTCTCTGTTTTTCCCTAGACACCAGAACCTGCATATCTTCAAAAGTGGGATGGTTTCCAACTTCTGTCTGAAAAGCCATCTGGTATTCTGGTACAGATTCACCTGTATTTTTTTTTTTTTTGAAAAGTAAGTAAAATTTCCAATTATCATAAAATAATAGAATAGCAGAACCATTTCTGTTGCCAAGTAAGTAAAGAAATTATACGATGATCTTTTCCCCAAACCCTTGCAGGCATATTTGGAAATCCTAAGGAGAATCTCTTGTGGGCTCAATGTATTGTTAAAATAAATGCTTTATTTAGAACAATCTCTGGTGAATGAATGTTTGTTGATAAATGATTTTTTTCAATGACTTACAGCTGTTTTTAAAAGATTTATAGTAATATTAAATAAAATGGGAGGGTGTTATTGTTATAGAAATTGTACTAGATACTTGACAATATACCTGAAGTTGGATCCCATACAGGGGTAGAGGTGTTGGGTATGAGGAGGAACTACAGGAAAGAACATGTCTACAGAAGGAAATATAAGTAGATGTAAAGTCATCATGTTTCATTATGACATTGGCCTTATTACAGTCTAGCCAGAATGTATCAAATGTCAAAAAGTACTATGATAATGGCCACCTGACAAAAAAAATCAATACACTAATTTAAAAAAAATTCCTCTTAACAAGCAGTATCTAGTTCAATAATTTTTAAATATCATTAACAGTTCTACCCTTCTCAATAGACCTATTCATCATCAGTATGCTGCTCATGATAAGAAGCTTATAATTTTTACAAAGTGTGATCAAATTTAAAATTATTAAATATATTGAATCATACAGTGAAATTCTGAAACCAGCACTTAGGAAACTACTGGTTTAGTAAAAGTCTTGGCAAAGAATAAAGGAGAACTTCCCTGTACCCTTGCTCTTCCCCTCACCTCACTAAAGACAGGATAACTTAGAAGGAAGAACAAAATGGAGGGTTCTACATGTAAGTTCTATTTGTGGCTTCATCTCTACTTTGGAAAAGTCATTCTGTATTTCAATTTCCTGTCAGCAAAGAGGGAAGATCTGCCTTCCTCTTCTCATTCAAGTGAAAATAGTGTAAGTTGTAAAGACCCAAATGAAAAATACATTACAAACCATATCATTTAAGCTTTGCATATCAATTTAAAAATTCAGAAAAGATGATAATCACCTGCTTTCCACCAATATTCAAACAGATTTACAAAGATTAATCCTTTAATCTATATAGCCCAATGTTTTTGCACAATCTGTAATTACAAGTGATATTTTTATATACTCTAAACATTTAAGCAGACACTTATTTTTGATCAATAACCATCAACATGGAACTTGAGGACAAAACTAAAGGATTTTAATCATGCCAGTTAATGTATCACCTTCTTCTATAAAACCTGATATAATAAAACTTCAACCGACACCACCTGTGAACTGTAAAATATTTACTAGTATATCTTATCAGTCTCTCTGAGACATATACATAACCCACATACATAGCTTCCATGTGCAATGTAGTATTATTTCTTCAAATGATGGTTTCACGAAATAATTTAAAATTGTACTTATTCATTTTAATCTGATCCCAAACATAATTTGAAAACTTACTAAATGAAACTGTTACATTATTATAAGAGAAATGATATTAAGAACTATCAAGTCTCACTAAATCTTCATGGTTCTAATTTTCAACAAATAGTTGTTTAGAGCTAACAGTATTAGGTAACTAGGAATAGAAAGATGAAAGCTAATGACATGAAGATATTTATTTTTCTGACTTTACTTAAAACTTGGTAATTACTGGATTACTCAAAGTAAATTCTGCAACCCCATTTGTTTTTTCAACCTGTCCAAAAGAGATCACATATCTCAGCATATCGGATACCAACCCTGTTTCTACTACCTATTAATTATGTCTCTAGCATAATTTTTTTTTTAAAGATTTATTTATTTGTGCATATAGAACTGGGGTACAGGCCAGAGGCTCAGGGGCGGCGAGAGGCTTCACCAGAGACAGAGTGGGAAACAGAACAGGCAGATCTGTGAAGTACACTGCTGAGGGGAGCAGCGGGCGGGTCAGGAGAGGTCTGCCACGCCATGTGGTCACCTCCGGGGCAGGCGGGAATCGAACTCATGCGGAAGCGGCTTTAGATTCTCAGTGCTGTGCTTTAACCCGCTACGCCACCAGGGAGGGCCTCTAGCATAATTTTTAATCTCATTCTTAAATTACACTTGTTTTACTACTTCTTGACTTTTTCTTTTCTATCCTTTCCTTTTCTCTACTTTAGATAAACTTTGAATTATTTCATTCTTCGATTTTGATGTAATTTGTTATTTACTTATTTATTTTATAGTGAGGAAAGCTTTATTACATGGTGTTTCCATTGGAGGCATATCCAGACATTTAAAAATATTTTAAAATTTTATCATTCTGATATGCTATTCTGTAGTCTTATTGAAACATTCATGGGATCTTTTCCTTTAACTTCCATCCCATTTCCTGTTAAAAGTTTTAAGGTGGGCCTTCCCTGGTGGTACAATGGGTTAGGACACAGCTCTGTAAGCTGGCTGCAGCTGTTTCAGTGCCAGTTCAATCCTGGGCCCTGGAGGTGACCCACATGGCACAGCAGACCTCTCCTGTCTTGCTCCCTGCTCCCCTCAGCAGTGTACTTCATCTATCTGCCTGTTCTGCTCCCCACTGCTGTGTCTGGTGAACCCTCTCACCACCCCTGCATCCCTGGCCTGCACGTCAGTTCTGTATGCATAAATAAATCTAAAATAAAATAAAATAATAAAAATTTAAGGTATCTTGTGCCTTCTGTTTTCTCAATACTTTTCCCTTTGTGCTCTATAACATTTCTATCTTCTCTTTTCCACAGAAATTACCTCTAAGAATATCAATAACCTTCTATTCAAACTCAAAAATCATTCTTCAGTACTTTTTAATCTTAACTTTTCAGTTATATCTGTTGCTTTAAATCTTACTTTTTAGAACCTCCCTTAACCTAGGGGTTAAGTCTCAACATTACCACCCCTATGGCCTGAGTGTGATCCCCAGCCAGGGAGGTGACCCATATGGTACAGTAGACCTCTCCTGTCTTGCCCACTGCTCCCTCAGCAGTGTATTTCTATAGATCCATCTGTTCTGCTCACCACTCTGTCTCTGGTAAATCTTCTCACAACCCTGTACTCTGGCCTACACCCCAGTTCTTCTACTGAGAAATAAATTCTTTTAAGAAATACATACCTTTAGTTGCCTATCAATGCATGACAGACAAGTTTCCATAATTAACTCATCTTTCTAATGTTAACCATTATTTTTTCCTAAGTTCCTGGCTTCTATCCTCACTGTTATTCAGATCTCTGAGTTTCTTCCAAAGCTGATCAAAACCACAGATATTTTTTATTTTCTCTTCTATGTGCCTCTTCTTGTCCATTTCTATAACAAAGGTAATGGGTATCTAGTGCAACCAATTTCATTTTTATTGTGGCTAAATATACATAATATAAAATTTACCATTTTAACCAATTTTAAGTGTCTAGTCCTGTGGCATTAAGTACATTCACAACGTGGTACAACCATCACCACATCCATCTTCAGAGCTCCTTCCATTTTCCCAAACTCAAATTCTGTATCCACTAAATATTAACACCATGTTTCTTTTTTTAAAAATAAAACTCTGCTAGCTCTATTTTAATTCATCCTACACATCTGCTAAAATAAGCTTCTGCAAACAAGATTTGCCTTTCCTTTTTCAAACATCTGATACTGCTCTTTACTATTTATAAGATCAAAAGTAAGCTACTCTTTGAATGCAATAGTTTTTCAAAAATTGTTGCTAATGACAATGTACTGGTGCTGATATAAGAATCATTTTAGCCAGCCAACTTCTAAGACAAAAATTCTGGGTTAGGATATACTTAAAAATTGGGGGTCAGAGTTCTAATAATAGAAATCAAAAGTTCCAAAGTTATCATTAAATACTGTGATACTACTTCAACTGCTATTATTTCCAGAAGAACATTCAGTGGAGTGTTTGTACTGTGTTGAATAATTATGCCTCCAGTTATTTGGAAAATATATCATAAATTCAGTTCAATATATTTTGGAATTTTACACTGTTTTTAAAATCTTGATGTTTTTAAAGAAAAACGTTTAACCCCATTACTGGTGTTGCTGAATAATTCCATTTCATAAATTGATTCAATGCAGTTTCAACTGCTGTTTTTCTTTTGTGTGTGTGTGTTTTAATGGTATTATTAAGAGAAACCATATCTAACAAATTATTTTGTAGACCTCTAGAAAAATGCAATGCACAGACTTGTTGGTAGTCTAAGTGTTCATATGACAATAACAACAGTGATATAACCCTAACACAAAAAAGGAAAAAACTTACAAACTCACTTGACTATTTCAAGTAACCCTCAAGTATTAACATTAAGATGAGAGTTATCTCATTAAAAGAAGACAAGGGAAAATAAAAAATAAAGTTGGGGAGAGGGAAGGGTAGAAAGGGTACTTGCCTCCTATTCCTTATTGGGACAATTCAGGAGACACTGTTATCAGTGTAACCTGTCAAATGCTCAAATACTGCTTAAGGAAAATGATGACTCCTAAAGCAGAAACTGATCTAACATTGTCAGGTAAGCAATTATGAACAGTAATTAAATTGAACTGTACTCACATACAAACAAAGTTCTTTTAAAGATTTTTAAAATTCACATACTCCTACAAATAACATTTCTGAACACTAGATGGCATTGAACTAAAGGTTAAAATGACAGTAAAAATACATGAAAGGTGACAATTAATTCAGATAGAGATATAACTGTTTCATTTCAAAACATGATCACTTTTGACAGCAGCTCTCTTACCTGGGAAGAGATCTGTACATCTCATAAATATCTCCCAATAGATCAGTCCAAGTGCATACATGTCTACTTGTTTCAAAGCTGATTCACAGTCCCTCAGGTTCACTGCTCCTTCTAGAACTTCTGGTGCCATATATCTGATTGTACCAACCTGATCAATTAGAATGGTATTTTTCAGAAACAGAATGAGTATATTCTGAAAGGCATAAATTTTATGTCAAAATATGTCACCTATTATTTGACAATAAACATGTTATTAAATCTTTCTATACCTGATTTATCATCCATAAAATGCCTTTCCTGAATAATTAAACTGTGATAAATCTGTCCTATTAAATACTAATCATAAAAGAATGAGCTATACCTATTTATAT